TAAAAAAAAACCCCATTTTTTTCTGTCGGACCTAAAAACAGTAATTTTCCCAAATTATACAGGGTCCGACACTTGTCAGAGTTTTATAAAAGTCCCTAAAGTTACATTTCCATGACTTTAGGATTCAAACTCTGGATTTCAGATGTTCACCTTAAATCCACCTGAGAACACACAAATCACGTATGGGCCTACTATAAAAGTAGCAGTTTGTGACAACTACATCATCTGAATGGAACAAACAAATTCTCTGTATGTTTCTTATTTCATGTGTCAACCATTCATGATATTTGATTTAGTGAACTTTATTATCAGACATTGAAATTACGTGCATGTACTTCTTTTCGAGAGTTGTTTTCTCTTTAGATGCAACCGGATTGTTCTATTATGCGGAGGGCAACGGACCATCAGTTAACGACAAGGCTGTACTTCTCAGTCCGAATATTTCTGGTTCCCTCACACAAGATTCCTGGTGTTTCAGTTTCTGGTACAACATGTATGGTCGTGACATAGGTAAGGAAGTCGATGGCTCAAGAAACTATTCAGGACTTGTTTTAAAAACAAATTCATGCTTACTTAGTATCAGCAGAAAATCAGTTACTGTCCCCAGTGATGTTTGTTTTTTGTGACGGATCCTAGACCCCATTCTTCAGCAAACACCTTGTAAAAGTGCCATTTCCAAATACTACCGTATTGCCTTTTTGACTGCTTTGTCTATGAAAAGTTTTGGAAATCACCCTTCCTGTGTACTTTCTCTAGTGAAACAGACACTGCAAGCGGATTACAAGAAAATCCCAGCAGTGCTTTCAAGTATACAGTTCAACTAGTGAAGATATTTTTCCAAGTTATTTGATGATTTTTATTTTAAAGATTGTTTTAACGATATACAAACATGTATTTTCAAGCTAGTCTGTTGAGACTTTCAAATTCATGTTACTGAGATCTAAAAATAAATGTGGAAAAATGCACTTCTCATTTATATATAAAAATGTATTCTTGTGCCGGCACTGATGGCACAAGAGAGCTTTGATAGTTACTCGTGAAAAACATGACTTCTTTGCAGCATCCCTGCATGCGTATGTGATTCCTGCTGGTCAGAGTACCAATTTAGGTACTCAAACTCCAGCCTTCTCCGTAACTGGGCAACAAACTGGCCAGCGAGTATGGATAGAGGCTTTGGTAGATGCCACCAACCAAACATCTGATTTCATGGTAGCATTGGAGGCTGTTGCAGGGAGTGCTGATCAAAGCGATATTGCAATCGACGATGTTGCAATATCTCCGGGGCCTTGTACTAGAGGTAAATTAAATTTTAATCTTTTTAAAAGATCGCTTAGATGAAAAGAAATGCCACGGATTCAAATGATTTTTGAAGGTGTAGTATGGTAAGCATGGTAGGATTCCAGCATGCATGACAGACTACAGTAAAAATTGTAGGATTGTAGAAAGTGAGAGCATTTTATGATAATTAAAAGTGTAATGGAGCATTTCCACCAAATATATATTTCCACCAAAATGGATCTGCTCCCTTGCCTTGAGGTTGCTCTGAGTAGTCTCTCATCCGGGAAGGATCGGGAAGATCAGCTACACTCTGACAGCTGTTAGCCTGGTCCTAACAAAGTTAGGTTTGGCCCGGGCAGATCCCTGCCATAACATTTAAATATTAAACCGAGTAAACAAAGAGAAAACAGTTTGTTCTGATTCAGATGGGCCTTGGTTTCTTGGGCAACTTCTTAGCTCTGTTTTTGTTGTATTTAAAAACAACCAATTGACTGTCTTGGAACCAATCATAATGTTCTTCATACTATATCAGGTATTCGTGAAAATGACAGAAATTATGGTACACAGTCACCTGTATTGGACACAACTTAAAGTTATATGGTGACCACTGGATTCATAGGGCATTAGGAATTTTTTTTTTTGCATTTTTGTGGATCACTCATAACAAACCATTCCGAAATAGAAGAGCTATCGGTTGCTGCAAGCATAAAAGAAAAGTTATTTCATAAATAACAGTAATGGTACTGACGTTTGTTTTATTTACGAAAGATACCGATCTTAGCTTCAATTGCAACTTCGAGCAAGGCTATTGTGGATGGACACAGTCTACTGATGATGACGTTAATTTGGCTTTGGAGCGGGGACAAACATATTCATCTTCAACTGGACCCAGTTTTGATCACACCCTTGGCAGTAAGCTAGAATTTCTTCATACAAGGAGTGAAGACTTTGTCAAATGAATCACAACTCTGGTTATACATCAGACTACGTAATTTCTCAGTACAACAGCCCAGGTCTTTCGCAAATGATGTTTTATTTAGCAGACGTTTCCCTGAAACTAGCACAGAATCTAAAATATAGCGTCAAGAATTCTTATTCAGTTCAATAAATGGCGATAAGTTTTTCTTGGACCCTTTTATTCACCTTTCCTCCGTGTGTTAAGAAATTTTTTTTTTGAGTTACGTCACAGTTCTACTCAGGATAGGGAAACTAGCATGAACACATGATAGGAAAAGCTTCAAATGTCTTTAAAAATAGCAAAAAAGTAACTCAAAACAAGGAAATTGGAAACCCAAAAGTGTCTTTTCAAGCACTCAAGAAAAATTGCATTTCCTGGTACTTCAGTGACCCAAGCTCTCTTTGTTTCTGTTCTCGCTGAAACATTAAAGAACCACTGATCAGCATCTTTTTGTTTACAAGCAGATGAAGATGGAACTTACTTATACTTTGAGGGTAATGGTGGTAGCGGTAGCGCTATTGTGATCAGTCCCGTGGTATCCACTTTCAACGGAAGCAGGATCGTCGTCAGTTTCTGGTACAACATGTATGGGACAGACATAGGTGATTACCTAATTGGAGTTGTTTGTTGTCTTGACTTCATCCCAACATTTTTAGTTGCCATACTGCAGAAACATGTACAGTGGAACACTGTTACAAAAAGGGCCTTTGAATTTTACAAATTTCTTTGTTATAATAGTTACCTTGTATTGTCACTAATGAAAATAAAGAGAAAACAAAGGCTTTGGACCTAAAATTGTCTTTGTTATAAATGTGACCTTATATTAACAGTGCTCTTCTTATCTGTGTTCGACTGTAGATGTATTTGAATTCATCAGATCATTTGGAAAATGAAATGAAATACGCTTCATCTTGACAAGTTTTTACAAAACCTCCCTTATATCGTCTTAATTTGTGAAGCTCCAAAGTACAAATAGTCATTTTATCAGTCCATCAAAATAAAAGTTGTATTTTGTGAGGTCAGTGCCGAAAAACATAATTTTAGACTTTTTTGTCATTCAGGCAACCTTACCGCGTATGTGACAACAGAGAGTGGCAACGTGACTGAAGGTTATTCAGTCTTTTCACTCAGTGGTCAGCAAACAGACGGTACTACTTGGCTACAAGCTGTGATACCTTTGACTGACCCGCCTTCCACATTTCGAATAGCACTTGAAGTCACAGGTACAACTGGATTCCGTGCAGACACTGCCGTCGACGACATAGAGATCACTTTCATAGGTAGGGAATTTCTTTTTTGATACAAAGAAACAATAAACAGTAGAAGAAACGTAAACTTGAAATCTTCTCATTTTGAGGACGGATATGTCACCTGCAACGACAGTGACTTGTGAATTTTCATCAGAGTTGACATACATATAAGAGCGCTGTACACAGAATAAGCAGGTAATCAGCACTGGAAAAACTTTCACTCTCATTCACATGAACATGAAAGATGCATCCGACAGAAACAACATTTGGTGATTATAAGTTGGCCCTACCTTACGACAATAGTAAAAATGACCAAAAGGGATTCAGTATTTTTGTAGGCCTATAAAATAAAGTTTGCAAACTTTGGCTGACGGTTTGTAGTTTCGAGTTACTTTGGGATGTCTATGTTAGGTATTAATCTGGGAAAGTTATCACCGTGATCATGTTTATTATCATTAATATTATTGTAAATGATCTTAGTCAGTTTCAAACCACACATTTTTTTTTGTAATATCTTCAGAGACATCAGCGATTCATTGGTAACAATTGTGCAGTGTGTTTTTAATGAATAGAGACAACTTTTATGGCTTTATTCAAAAACAAATACACGCCCATGTACACCTAAAATTATTGAAATATCGCCCTATTCGAATTTCTGAAGGGATCAATAGGTTCAATCAAATAAGTGCTGAGATATTCAACATTTGACATATGTATTGACTTTGTATGTACTCGTAGACATTGAAGCGCCTGAAGTGACTTGTCCAAACAGTGTCCCTTCCATGAGTACAGACGTGGGACTGTCAACTGCCGTGGTCACTTGGTCGCCACTGCCATCAGCTACTGATAACATGGACGTGTTTGATTCCAGCAACATCACATGCAAAGACGATGGTGGCAATCTTGTGGAATCCAATGGAACATATGCACTC